GTGGGGGGGACATGTCCCCCCTGTCCCCCCCCCAAAATTACGTCCATGCTCCCAGATGCCTTGCCGGGACAGACCCAGTTGGACACATCATGGACTCCTGGAAACAGTGTAACTTGATTTGTTTATCTCAGCTGTCTGTGGAGGACTCTGAAGACGTGTTGATATTCGTGGTGTTGGTGTCAGGTTTCCTGGGAGGGTAACTCTGAATTGCCTTTTTTTCCCTCCACCTGAACCAATCCTCATGTAACCCCTCTGATCTCTATTAAGGTAGAGCGACTCAGGGTTGCGAATGACCACAGTCACCAATTCTTGTCATGTGCCTTGCCCATGTATGTCTGATCTCTGAACTGTGTGTAATGAAACTCTAATTTCCCTCTGGGATTAATAAAGTATATTTGATTGATTTGATTGATTGATTGATTGATTGAAAAAGCGATTATTTCTAAAACTTCTGGCCAAAGTGCAGATTTGTGAATCCTCCGTTGTCAGCATTTGCTTATGGATGTAAACAAGTGGAGTTTGAGGTTCTGCAACATCAGTGCTCCTGACAGACATCATCTGACATCACATGCATGTTTTTACAAGCTTAATTACAGCTCTAGAAGATCGCAGACAAAGGATGACTTTAGGGACGTATTTGTTCCTGCCATCTAGTTATTTTTGCGTCCAAAGGATGTTTTCCAGCTAACTGATGATTTAGGGAAATGCTGCCACCTACAGGCTTGGGGTGCATTTGAATGGGCTTCAAAAGGAACTGGAATTTGAGGTGGTGTGGATCCAATTTTTCTCATAGATGAGTGGCAGGAGGTCGGTTTAACAACATCCCAGCTATGTATGTATATATCCTTAGTCTGCTGTGGCTGGATATCTTGCTCCAAAACCACATGGTTCAGCTGTAAAGGTGTTAACCAACAAAATGTGAGTGTGAACGCACCCCCATCTGAGCAGAGTGTTGATAACAAATCAGATCTTCCCACTCTCAACTCTGAGGATTCAGCGTTAGTCATTTCCAACCTGAACCTCAGATCCTGATTGGTCCGAGCTCACGACAAATCAAGTCTGGAAGCTGATCTGGATATTGTCCCCGTATGCCTTCTGTTCATTTTCACATCAGTGATGAGCTGGATTTATATAATACTAATAGTTCGATCGACATGCATGGTGATGCGGTGGGTTGCACTGTTTCCTTGCTGCAAGAAGGTTGCAAGTCCAAATCCTGGCGGAGCCCTTTCTGCAGAGTTAGCATTTTTTCCCCATGAGTGTTTGGGTTTTCCTCCATCAGACCAAACATATGCATCTAAGATGAATTATGTTGGTGCTACTCTAGCCTGTTTCCTTTATTAAAAATGTCTTTCTGCCCATAAACAAACCAAGGGTTTTCTTCAACAGTGGGTCTTTTTTAGCAGAGGTAGAGATTATACTGAACCCTGCTGTCTGATGCAACAAAGAGCTAATGGTAAATACACATTCTGCAGTGAGAATTAAATCGAAAGCCTGCTGCAGCGATGCATAAATAAGTGCTGTTGGCAACACCTCAGCAGCTGACGGTGTCCAGCAGTCAGGTCCACATGTGACATGATGATCAGCAGAGTCTGGTGAGGACAGGTGTGTTTGACAAGATCACAAATTAACAGCCGTGATGACAGCAGATGTTGTTGTTGTGGAGCTGTGGTGTTTCAGAGAGCATGAGCTGATTCTGTTAGCGCTGACCTGCTGATGCTCGGATAAACTGTGTGTGTGTGTGTGTGCGTGTGTGTGTGTGTGTGTGTGTGTGTGTGTGTGTGTGTGTGTGTGTGTGTGTGTGTGTGTGTGTGCGTGTGTGTGTGCGTGCGCGCGTGCGTGTGTGTGTGTGCATGCGTGTGTGTGTGTGTGTGTGTGTGTGTGTGTGTGTGTGTGTGTGTGTATACTGGGAGGAGCACTCATCAACAAGTCATTTCATGCTAAGGATGCTTGTTTCTGCAGCTCACAGATTGAACAGGAGGCTGGGAGAGATGAGCCTGCTGCTGCTGCTCAACCATTCACAGCTTGTTCTTTGTGCCGCTTGCTAGTGCGGCTGCAATCCAGGTGTGCAAACCTCTGGCAGGACTCCAAGGCGTTCCTGGGCCAGGTCGGGGATGTTCTTTCTCCAACATGTCCTGGGTCGACCAGGAGGCCTCCTGGCGGTGGGACTTGCCTGAAACATCTCCCTGGGGAGGCATCCATGATGCATCCTTACAAGATGCCCAAACCACCTCAACTGACTCCTCTCAATATGGAGGAGCAGCAGCTCTACTCCGAGTCTCTCCTGAAAGTCGGAGCTCCTCACCCTATCCCTAAGGCTGACCCAGCCACCCCACGGAGAAAACTCATTTCGGCCGCTTGTATCCATGATCTTGTTCTTTTGGTTATTACCCAAAGCTCATGACCATAGGAGAGGACTGGGCAGACGTTGTTTTCCAATTCCGCTTGTTTTGTGCCGTGGATTTCACATATGATGTCTATGAATTTTAAAGACACATTCTGATACCAAGGGCGCACTTATTTTTGAACAGGGGGAAACACAATTTTAGGTTTTGTGTGAAAATAAATCCAGGACTATAAACGCGCTTCACAAAAGTGACGTCATCAAACCAGACATGGAGAAAACTGAGAGAAAAGGGCTGTAAGTTCAGCAAACTTCCCAAAGAAGGAAATAACCACCATAAATCTGGTCATGTGGTAAATATCAGCTACGTTAGGGGAGAGGAGAATATGAGGCGACGTCAATATGCGACGTGCCGATTTCTGCTGTGTAGTCAGGCTAATTACGAACTTTTACAAGCTGATAAAGTACGTAACTAGCATGGTCAAAACCCCCATCATTACTTTTCATTTAAATTGCAGTACAACATGTGCGACCCAGGGCGTCAGGCAAAGCGGATTAGAAAATAGCGTTTTAATCCACATTGACTTGCTTTCATTTTTCCGTTCTTCCGGGGACCCATGAGCCGACCGGAAGGGGAGGAGACTCAGGCTCCCTATAGTCATGAGAGGTTAGAGGTTGGAGCCAGTTGTGAAGGCTATCAGGTCTAAGCTGGAGCTGTTTCCCCGTCTGGATTTGACTCGGATTGGGGCTGCTCCTGTTTAAGCTGTATAGAGGGTGTCTGGTTGAAATCATCAGGGTCCCCTCCCTGCTTTTAAGAGGATGTGGTTCTGCTGCCGTCTTCAGACCATCCTGTTAGATGTGTATGATGGAGTCAGACATGGACCACACAATCTGAGCTTTAGTAATGAAACAAACTCTCGGGGCCCTCATTTATCAAGCTTGCTTACGCACAAAACGGGGTCGGAAAACTGCGTAAGCAACTTTCCAAGCAAACTTTGGGATTTATGAAGGAAAACTTAGCGGAAAAATTTGTGCAACTTTAAGTTGACTAAGGACCTGAATTACGCACATTTTGGACATGAAGAGCACCTGCAGTGCTGCTGCTGAGAAGGATAAAATTATGAATTCCAGCAGCATTATCACTTGTACTGCTTTGTTTTCACACAGAACAAGACCCCCCACACGCACACACGTGCGTGTGCATACTCACACGCACACGCGCGCGTGCACACACACACACACACACACACACACACACACACACACACAGCCTGAAGCGCAGAATACGGAGTGCAGAATATCAGCGGGGGACAGATTAGACAGAATGTCATGCGTCTGTGACAGTGTGTGTCCTGTCACTGTGACCCGATTAATCACGCGCCCTGGCTACCTGGTCAAGGGAGATTTCCGTTTGGGTGACTGGTTAGTGTGCGTGACTTTCACCTGGGAGTCTGGGGATCGAATCATGATTGGACCATTTTTTCATATCTGCCACAGATCTCTCTGAAGAATTCACAACATTGACGGCTTCAGCAACGCTGTGCCACTGTGGATTTTCTCTTATTTGTTTTTGCAAAAGTACTTCCTTTCATTTCTCCACCTCACCCACAAGTACCTCAATTTCTGCTTGTGAAATAGCGCTTCCTTGATCTGTGGCCATGATGGAAATGCTGCAACAAGCCAGCTTATGTATATGCATGAGGTCCACAAGGCACTTTGCATTAACTATTTATGGCAGTAAGTGGGCGTGGTGAGGACGGGATGTGACTAAAATGCAGCTGAGAAACTTTCTCGTTAGTCTCTGATTTATGAAGCGGAGATTGCGTGCAGCTGTGCGTACTCCATGTTAGATAAATCACAAACCTACTTGGCGTAAGTATATATAATTTGCTGAGCTTAAGTACGGTTTTAGTAAGGATTCTAAGCAATGTTTGATAAATGAGACCCCTGATCTGCTGTGGTGAAGGAGCCAAGCTAAAAGGCAATGCTCTGATCAACTTGTTTATTAACATAAGGCAGAAATGAAGTCTCATCAGAATAAGACTTATTTAGACATTTATTTTGTTAGAATTTTTATCCTGTGCAAATGTGATTGTTTTATTTAAAGGGCTCGTTCACTGAGAAACCCTGTAATACTTGGTCTTTTTGAAAAGTGACTCTGAGTTGCATGAAGGTGAAAATATTTTTCACCCCGCCATCTGCATTAGCTCAATAGTTGAATCAATGATTGCCTCAGAAAATGCTAGTCTCTTCTACATCGCAGGGAAAATTAACGTCTTAATCACTGCTTCCTGTAAATAGGGATTTATGAACTGAAAAACAGTCACTAAGTTTATTTTCACATACTGAAACTACATTTATCTTCCAGGATTTCAAAGGTGAGAATTTGTCCCTTTTCCTTGTTTATTCACTTAAACAAATCAGCCCCCAAATCTCCTTAATGATCCCAGAAATCTTCACTAATTTGTTTTGGCACTGACATTTACTGTGAAACAGCTCGTTTTAATTCCCAGAATAAATTCCTGCTGATTCTGGATCAGCGTTACACAACGGTGCCCACTAAAAAGGTAATCAATCTGGTGGGCTGCGCCGCCAGACTCGCTGCATCACAACAAACGCCTCCAATCAGGCTTCAGCCTTATGCGTCTCCACGGTAACAGAGCCTCCTCAGTGCAGGGAAGGTGGAGACGGCAGAAGGAGGAGAGCAGAAGAGATGGAGAGACAGACTCAATACCCGCTCTAGTTTCACTCTGAGGATTAAAGAAGCTCCTTCCTTTCACCAGCTGCTCTGTGCCGGTCGACCGTAGAGGAGGAAGAGGGATGTAGCGGGGGGTGGGCCCGCCTGAGCCAGGAGTCTCTGGGGCTTGGATCTGCAATGGGCCCCGAAGACTGGGCTCCGTCGATCAGCTGGGTAACTGCGAGGTAAACATATCTTTCACACGTAGGCTCAGATCACAGCGTTTATTCGTGCCTCCCTTACAGCTGCGTCCATACAAACAGATTACACGCCGCTGCCTGCTGGACTCGGAGCGGTACGATTGCTGGACCTGCAGGTGGTTGCAGTTTTCTGGATTTCTCCTCGGATAATGCGAGTGTTAAAAGGCGACAGAATGTTTGGGATTGCCTTGTTGCAGCATTTGTCACAAAGGCAATTTTCTACCTGCGTTTATTTTATTTAATTTTTTTACATTTTTTTCTGAATCCTCAAACATTCCAACAACCATCTGAATGTAAAAGAAAAACATGCAGCCATCAGTATAATCCTAGTTTGCTTGCTCGTCGTTAGAAATGGTGAAGGATACAATCTCAGCAAGTTTAAAAATGTTGCAGAACATAGAAAAAATAGAACCTTTCATTCATCTGGAAAATTGGGTTATTTTACAACTAATCCCATAAACTCGGGCTCCATTTGAGTGCTTTTGCCAAAAAATGAGCTTTGAGAGAACTGGTCATGCAGGGAGGTGGTGATGTGCAACTCACGTCATGTCTGTGTATGGTGTCAGAGATTTTCCATCCATCATTTTAAAGTAATTATTCTTTTTTTATCAAATTGAAGCAAATGGCTGCTCATTTGGCTGTGCACATGTTGCACAGCACGCTTAATTCATGCAGCATGCATGTGGGCTGTAATTAACAGAGACAAATCCAGTCTGTGGATCTTGTTGAAGTAACACGAGTCCTCCTGGAGCATCAATGCATCAAAATGGGATCGTGGTCCTGATCCTGCTGCACATCAGATCACAGTGTGACCGAAGACGGCAGATGTGTGTCCACAAATGTGCTGCACGCCTTTGAAATCTTTAGAACTCGCTAGGTCTGACGTTTCTGTAGAGCTTTTGATTGTGATAAATTAAACATGGCAGTCAGTCGTTAAACAGGAAAGTCCGGCTTTCTCACACGAGAAGAAAGGAAACCTAAATGGCAAAGAAGCTCTAATGAGATCCAGAAAAAAGCATTTATGTGTCTGATGGGTTAGGGTGAAACCACCATGTGAAAGCAGATTAACAGTTTGAAGCCAGAATTAGCAGCTGAATATGCAGCCATAGCAGGTTTTGCTTCTGGTTCGGAAAACAACAGCAAACCATTCCTCTTTCTACTCAGCAGGACAGATTTTGGGACAATCTGGAGAAAAGATGACGGCCTTCGCAGCTAAAAGCAACAGTTCAGATGATTTCAGGAGTGTCTGTGAAATGGTAATGAATATTTAATGTCTCTGGGGTTGTTGATAGCTCTATGAATAACCTCCATTTGGAGTAAAAGACATTAGTTCTAATCCAACTAGGGCTGAAGCTATCAACGCACTAATCGACTCGACTGATTCAATCTTCAGAAAAGCATCAGTTTTTCGTTTGCTTTGAAAATGTGAGCATAATCTTAGAGTGGTACTAATAGTGAAGAAATAAGGATTATTCTGTACATTTATATTACAGTTTATTGCATTCAACTCCATTTAATTTGCTGCCTGTTAGTTGTCACACACACTGATGTGTGTGTGAAGTTTGTTGTCTGCACTTGAGTGGTGAGATGCTACTTTTAAAAAGTAATTAGTTATAGTTACTGATGACTTTGTCAAAAAAGTAACTCAGTTACTTACCGAGTTACAAGATTATAAAAGTAACTAATTACCAAGAAAAATAACTACTTTGTTACTTTTTCATTAAAGAATGCCAGAAAAATGGGTTCCCTTCTTAAGAAAACTTAATTGACTGCAATTCCATTGTTGGTTCTTTTTAAAACACAGGAAAGGTTTTTCTTTACCTTGCTAATGTTTCGTTTGCCGACTGCAAAACATCCTCAGAGCTGACACTGATGGTGGCGTCACTTCCTACTCCGTTTATCCGTGGGCAGCAGAGGACGTTGTCGCCCTCTACTGCCCACTCCCCCCCTCCGATGATGCAGTCCCATGTACGATCCAATGTGTAGACCCCATTGTCTCTGTTCATGGTCCCACATCCATGTCTCCTTATCTCTATAGCTTCTTTTATCCATCTTTTATATTTCTGTTGTTTGGTGTTTATGATCCTTGTGTTGTCCCAGTCCATTATATGGTTTTCTCTTATGCAGTGATCTGTTACGGCTGACTTCTTTATTGTACTTTCTGCTTCTTGTTTTGCTGCTCTTGTGTGTTTTCGACTTGCCTCTTTCTCGCACTCCTTTCTTTGTTCTATTGTTCGTGTGTTGAGTTGGCGTCCGGTTTCTCCTATGTATGTTTTACTGCAGAGTGACGCCACCATCAGCGTCAGCTCAGAGGATGTTTTGCAGTCGGCAAACGAAACGTTAGCAAGGTAAAGAGAAACCTTTCCTGTGTTTAAAAAGAAATGGAATTAGAAACTAGACACAGTAAGAACACACCAAAGATGTTAATTGACTGTAAATTACTACAATAGTGAAATATAAATGACTGAAGGCTGGAACATAATAAAATGCACGTTCAAATGTTTTTTTTATAAACCTGAATAATTGAAATAAATGGGCACGTAACAGGAGGAACTAGAAACAGGAACATGACACTAATCTAGACTATTAAAATGTCACTGTGTGATATTTAACAAGACCCCAATCAGCTAAAATTTTTAATTGCAAATAAAAACACCTGTAAAGGTTCCTGAGCCTTTAAATAGTCTCTCAGTCTAGCTAAATTACTGAAATAAATGTTATTTTGCACATTAATTAAAAATTTCCAGCTTCACATAATTAAGTGTTTTTAGTACCATTTTCTGTTGCTGGTAAACTGGTAATAAATAAATAAATAAATAAATAAATAAATAAATAAAATGACACTAGAAGAGGCCCTAATCTGATGGAGGACTTACATTTACTAACTTGGGTCAGACCCAAACTGAAGCTGGGTGGTAAACACACACAGGTAGTTCTAATAACACCTGAGCGCCATGACATTTGAGACTGACGCAACCAGTGTTACAGCTGGACTAAAGACATGATCAGAAACTGGTTACAGTTGGATGATCTGTAGGAGATTGTGACATCTGAGCGGACCTTCGGAACGTCCCGCTGTCACGCCAAGAAGGGCACGGCTGCAGATTCATGCCTGCAGCAGCAAACCTGCAGGTCTGCAACCGTAGACTACTCATCACGTCTTCCTCGTTCTTCACGGGCCGTGATGCTCTAGGATGAAAACATCCGCCTCTTCAGCCCCAATCAGCTGATGACATCTCAGCGTTACTAACTCAGCAGGGCGGTGTTTTCACTGCCCTGCTGAGTTAGTAACGCACACATTTTCTCATCAGCAATGGAAACGGCATTATGATAAAAGAAGACGGTGATTATTTAGATTACTCATTACTGAAAAAACGTTATTTTAAACCCATCACTGAGGCTGAGTTTCAAGCGGGGAGGCATTGGGTCCCATTGTTTTAAAGTCTTTAGTATGACCTCACCAGAATTTGAACCCCAATCTCAGGGTGGACACATATAGGCAACTGAGCTGGTAACTCAGGTGCAAAATCAGCAGAGCATGATGGCTTTGTCCCGAGCCACGTTAGACACTGACAGTCTAGTCCACCAGCCCGAGTCTGACATGTTCCTACACTTCAGAAACTTCATGGCGTTTCCTCTGGGTGTCACCATCACCATGCACGGTCCGTCGGCACGGCTCTCGTCGTCTGCGTCACACTGGAAGGAGATCATATAACCTGGAAGTGATAAAATTATTCAAAAATATATAAATCGAATATTTTTGTAACCGATTTAATCTATCATTTGTTGCAGCCCTACGTCAAACAGAAGAGCACCAGCTGATCTCAGCAGGGCCTGTCACAAGGAGGCTTTCTCCCAATCCAAAATAGCTCTAATCTGGAGTTATTCCTGTCTGTAAATATCTACACCTTCACACCACTTTCAGTTTAGTTCTTTTATTTTGCAACAACTGTTTAAAACAATGACTTTGTGTCACGTTGAAGGTTAGGAGGAGGTCAGGACCCAAGATGCAGATTACCCCAGATGACACGAGGCAGGAGCGGTTTTAAAAGTTAATCCTTTTATTTAGGATGATGAACGAAAAATCCAAAAAGGGCAGGAAGCCAAAAACAAAGTCCTGAACCACAGGAGACCGAAAGCTCACTTAGAGCACTAAACAACGCTGACAACAACAATGGACCGACAAGACATTGAGACAAAGACAGGGCTTATATACACTGGGGCATGATGGGAGGCAGATGGGCTGCAGGTGTGTGGAGAGAGAACCAGGTGAAAGCAATTAACTAATCAGGGAGGAAACTAACATGACCTAAGAGTAAAAACCTAAAGACAAGAAAAGCAACCACATAACTAATATTCTAAGGGGAAGGAAAACTGCAAACACCGGTGGGAAAAAAAACACACTAAAGAGACTAATAAAATGAAAAGCTGAAACTATAAAAACTGCAGAGGGGTGACTGGGGAAGACTAAAGGAACACAGGACCTGGGAGAGATATCCGGAGAGCTGAAGACCAGGAGACACATGAGGAACACTAAAGAGACACATAAGGGGGATTCTTCGGGGGGAAAGGAGCCACATGAGGGACGCAGACACAGACCATGACACTTTGGGATCTAACATGAAAACTAACTTTTGTATGTTTCATCATCCAGTCCAGATTTACCTTCAGCCTTAATCTGAGCCATTTTGTTGTCATGCTGATGTTCCAAACACAGACTAGCTAGTTGCATAGTCTGTCACCTTGCTGGCAGTATTTAGATTCTGTGTTTTTGTTAGTGGGCTACACAGTGGCACAGTGGTTAGAGTTGTTGCCTTGCAGCAAGAAGGTCCTGGGTTTTAATCCCAGCCTGGGATCTTTCTGCATGGAGTTTGCATGTTCTCCCTGTGCATGCGTGGGTTCTCTCCGGGTTCTCCGGCTTCCTCCCACAGTCCAAAATCATGACTATTAGGTTAATTGGACGAGCGGGGTTCAGAAAATGGATG